AGAATGCCTTATCTATTAGTCAGTGCATTTGCAGAGACATTATTAATATAAATAAATAAAAATAAAATAATAATAATGAAAATTGGAAGTAAATAAAATAAGACAATAATATTTAAACTTGTTTTTAAAATAAATTAAATAAAAAATAAAGATCATAAAAATACCACCAGCATGCAACAAAAGCTGTCCCTGCCAGAAATAAGGACATCCCACCAAAAGATATTAAATTCAATCTCTTCGTCACGAGCCTTGGTACGGGCAACACCTGTCCGTGATATTACTTGTAATATGGAGGGACTTCTCCCTTTTATCACATGTAACATAAAACAATTATAACCGAAAAAAAAAATACACATACCACATTATTTATATTATCCGGACTATTGGCCTCATCTTTGTCGCCATATTTATTACAACGTTTCGGCCGTTGTACGCTCCGGCCTTCTTCAGGTGGTTGGAATGTCGAAATGCACCCCTTATTTCGCTAACTGGGGTAGACTGTTCTAGATTCACGTGCCATGTTTAATGCATGTCAGCTATCAGTTATCTCCTGTTAATTTCCCTCTGAAAGTTCTCCACTGACTTCACCGGGTATTGAACTCACACTCTTTGGGTCCTGTCACTGGATCTAACTAACGCCTTTATCCACTGTGCCATGTGTCCTCGAGCGAAATAAAGGGTTCAGTTCAACATTCCAACCACCTGAAGAAGGCCGGAGCGTACAATGGCCGAAACGTTGTAATAAATATGGCGACAAAGACGAGGACATTAGTCCGAATAATGTAAATAATGTACATAATACCTCATGTCAGAAATATAGACAGATACACATACCAATTCACACAAGTATAATATAAATAAATTATATGAAAGTAAAATACATATGTCCGACTTCTCTGTGGGATATCACCTGTAATATGGAGTGACTTCTCCCTTTTATCACATGTAACATAAAACAATTGAAACCGGAAAAAATACACATACCAATACACACAGGTATAATATAAATAAATTATATGAAATTAAAATACAATTTACCATGCTTTCCCGTTATTTATGTACATTTTATTTTCTGGCAAGTATGCTTTTATCTCCATGAACACGAGGCTTATTTCTGCTGCTATGATGGGAATAACTACCCACACATTTACCCAAAGTAAGGATACAACCCCACATTATAACTTTATTTATCTGCTTCAATCTTCTTCTTCAGGATGTTGGCGATCATGGCTCTCCACATTTTCCTGTCCTTCGTAGCTCTTAATTAATGTTGTCTTTTTGTTATCTTCATTAAACCTTGTTCAACCATCCATTTACTTAAGTTTGCAAGGTAGGTTATATGTTGCTTTCTTCTGACTATTTTGCCTTCAATCTATCCAGTGAGTATCAAATTTTCCAAGCCCTCTTTTCTCATTGTATGTGTTGAAATTCCAACTGTCTCTTTCTAATTCTAAGTATAAGTGTCCTTTTTGTCTTACTTTTCTCGAAAACTTGGTAATTGCTCACATGTTCAGTGCATGTTATTCTATTGCTTTAACGTAATTTTAAAAATATTTTTGACTGAAATATTAAATTCAACATCCAGCATTTTAAAAATATTGGATCCAAAACACCATAAATTATAATTCTTTGAAAAAAGGACAAAAAGGTAACCGGAATATTTAAAAAAGAAGAATAATTTTAAATGAATGTATGAGGTTTAGTTTTTTTCCCCATATTATTTGCCACTTAAAACTGTTTGATTTATGAATTCCACATTGGCTTTTCTATTTATTTATTTCGTGTCAGATTTCTTTTGGGCTTCACTTGATAAAGAACAGTTGCCATTTTTCATTATATTAAAGCTATCATGGAAACATGAATTATACTGGCTTCGAAATAACAATTTCCAGGGTTTTTTCAATCTAAAACAAAGAGAGTTGTGCATGTTTAACTATATTACATTCATTTGGAAAATTATCTTTGAATGCCCTCAAGCCCAGAAAATAATGTCCTCCTTTTTTCTTCTTCTTCTATGTGCCTCGTTCTTCCTGGAAGTGGGCGATCATGGATGTCCACAATTTCCTGCCCTTGGGAGCCGTTAATAAAATTTGTCTTTTTGCTATCATTCCGAAATCTAGTTTTGTTAAAAATTTACACAAATGTGCTAGGGAAGTCATACGCTGTTTTCCTCTATCTGTCTTGTTTTCAATGTGTCTTGTGAGTGTCAAAATTATCTAAGTTTCTTTCCCCATTATTTGCCTTAGAAATTTTAACTATCTCTTTCTGATATGGAATATAAGTGTCCTTTTCATTTTTATTTTCTCTAAAACTTTGTTGCTCGTATGTTCAGCTTATGGCATTCTCAGAATCCTTTTTGTAGAACTACGACATTTTTTAGGTTCTTGTAATAAACCCATCATCTTTTCTGAAAATTACTGGAAATTAGATAACCTGTTGCTGTAGTATGCAGCAGTGAGCAATTGGCTTGTTTGAATAACACTGAAAGAAAAATCACTTTTTTCCTGAATTAAGAAATCATTTGGTAATTTTCTGATTGATAATGGTTATCTTCAAATAATAGGTGAAATGCCACAAATTTTATATCTTGTTCAGATGGAAAATTCTTTCACATTCTGCAGATTTCAAACCTTCAGGTTGTCACTGAAGGTTTGAAATCTGCATATTTCATGCATATTTCCATTTCTTTGGTGGGCAGCTACAACAATTTCAAGATATTGTGAACTCCATTTTACCCTATTATTTATGTTGTGGTGTAGCTGAACACCACCACAAGATGGACTGGTCTAAGACTATTTAAACAGCAATCTCTCTTACTGGGCAGGAGGAATAAAAAAATTAGTAGTTAGTCTGTGTTCTCAAACATGATGGAGAGTGAGAAGAAAGGACTAAACATAAACTACAAGAAGACAGAATGCATTGTCATCAATAAAAAGATAAGACCAAAATGCAATTTGCAAGTTGGGAACACTAGAATCAAGCAGACACAGAAGTTTTAATATCTGGGAAGTATCTTGACAGAGGATGGTAAGTGCAATGCTGGGATGTGTAGATGTATTGGGATGGCCAAAGACACATTCCAAAAGCTGATCAGAGTATTACAAGACAGGAAGATTTCTTTGGTAACAAAGAAAAGGATACCGAGTTGTTATGTGACATCTGTCCTTCTTTATGGCAGCAAATATTGAACGATTTTCTCAAAGATGAAAAAGAGACTCAAGGCGATGGAGATGTGGTTCTACAGAAGGATGCTAAGGATATCATGAAGCAAGCATCTGAGCAATGATGAAGTCTTGCAAACAAGGAGAAGGCTTATACTTAACATCAGAAAGAGACAGCTGAAGTTTCTGGGACACATAATGAGGAAGAAGAGTATGGAGAATCTGATACTCACGGGTCGAATAGAGGGAAAGAGAGACAAGGGAAAACAGTGCGTGACATCCCTGGCAGGCATGAGCAGGTGGATGACGGAACATGGTCTGGGGGAGGTAGCAGAGAGAAGGAACTTGTTGAGAGCTGCAAGGGATAGAGGGCAGTGGAGAGCCATGATTGCCTACATCCTGAAATTGCACATAAAAAAAGAAAAAAAAAAAAAAGAAGAAGAAATAAAGACTTGTTCCTTAAGTATCCAGTTTTCTGATACAGATAAAAAAGGATTTACTTATAGAATAGTGTTATCTGTTTAGGATTAATTGATAATGGTAATGGAGCCAGAATGAAATACAATGCATGGTCATCAGTAAGAGGAAGAGACTGAAATGCAATTTGCAGGACGAGAACACTAGAATGAAGCAGATGCGGAAGTTTAAATATCTGGGAAGCATTTTGACAGAGGATGGTAAGTGCGATAATGAGATCTGTAGATATATTGGGATGGCCAAGGACGTATTCCAAAAGTTGGGCAGAGTATTGAGAGACAGGAGGATTTCTTTGGTAACAAAGAAAAGAATATGGAGCTGTTACATGACATCTGTCCTTTACGGCAACAAATGGTGGATGATTTTCTCTTGGATGAAGAAGAGACTTGAGGCAATGGAGATGTGGTTCTACAGAAAGATGCTGAGGATTTTGTGGACCAAGCATGTAAGCAACGATGAGGTCTTGGAGAAGATGCAAACAAGGAGGAGGCTCATGTTTGACATCAGGAAGAGGCAACTGAAGTTTCTGGGACAGAAATCAAATTCTCCAGGCCCTTCTTCTGAGGAAGAAGTGTCTAGAGAATCTGATAGTCATGGTTCGAAAAGAGAGAAAGAAGGACAAGGGAAAGCAGCATGTGACATACCTGAGCTTGAGCAGGTGGATGACAGAACGTGGTCTGGGGGAGGTAGCAGAGGGAAGGGACTTGTTGGGAGCTGCAAGGGAAGTAGAGAGCTATGATTATCTACATCCTGAAAGGACATGGCACATAAAAAGAGAGAAACTACATCTTATTTTCTATATGTGTGTCAACCTTTCCTATTTATGGCACAACATTTTGGGGGAGATGGGTACATACTTGAATGTAATGAAAATTGACTGGAAGTTGAACTCAGCCTGCTGATTTCTCGTTACAAGCCATCTGCGCATCAATTGCTGAGTTCCAAACAAATTCTTTGGAAAGGTATGAATCTGTCTCTTCTCCTCCAGCTATAGGTTAAATAGTAGGGTAATAATGACTCTTCAACCATATTCAGACTGAATTGTTTTATTGTATCTTACCTTATATCTTCTTTTTGGAATTGGCAAAATATTATCTGTTGTCCCCATATATCACATTGCGTGTACACTTGAGTTTACTTTTGTACTTGACAGGCCAATAAAAAGTTCTCAGCTTTACCAAGATGTTTGGTAAGATTTTAGGGACTGGGTCAGGATGAGGACATTGCAGAGACTGTCTATGTTTCTATTTTAATCGGCAGTGGCATCGCAACTTTGGAAGACCATTTTCCCTGCTCAAGAGTTAATCTATCATAGAGTGTCTCATGTAACTGTAAAGATCATTTTGTGAGACATTCCCAGAGATGTCACATGTACTCACCTGTCCCAATGATGATGACGAATGGCTGATGCCATTATCTTGCTTGTAATTCATCATTGTTCTGTTGTCCACAAACATTAAACAAATTAATAAATTTACTTTGAATAATTTATCTACAGCATATATTGTGAATTTGAATGAAAAACTATACTGATATTAAACAGTATAATTATTTATATATAATAATAATTCTAATATATATATATATATATATATATATATATATATATATATATATAGAGAGAGAGAGAGAGAGAGAGAGAGAGGCATGGTGGAGCAGTGGGTAGCAGCTCGAACTGAGGGCTCGAAGAACTGAGTTTGGATTCCAGTTGAATCCATTGTTAATACCCTTGGAAAAGGTATGAATCTTCTCCCTCCAGCTGTGGGTAATTAGCAGGACAGACTGTGTTCTATAGCCCTGGATGGCAACTGGTCTAGTAGAAGGACAACTCTGAATTCAAAACCTGAAGTTTGTTTGGGGACCTTGTGGCATGCAGTGCACCAGGTCCCTGTATTCAGCCCTTCAAAAAGTGTGGTTGGTTCTGCCCAAAGCCTTCACCACTAAATTAAATCTTATTTGCTGGTTTCTGGCTATCGGTTCCTAGAAACTGAGTTGCTGACCCTCATATGTCGAATACAGCGGGAGAGTCCACCATATATATATATATATATATTTCACTGTTGTTTTGTTTTTTATGTTTTTTTGGCGACTGTCAAGGCAGAAACATAACGTTTGTGTTTATTAGCATATCACTCATCATAAACAGCAATGCCAGAGGTGAGTAAAAAACGATACTGAGATTGTGTCAATCATCAGCTACTTTGTCATGCCAATATTGGACCTGAGAAAGTTGAAATCCATGCAGAGTTTTGCCTTAAAAGTCATAAATTTTCATTCAATATAATTTATCAACAGCCTAATTTGGGAATTGGAATGAAAAACTAATCTCACTTGAAAAAGTTGAATCAATTTATATATATATATATATATATATATATATGTGTGTGTGTGTGTCTGTGTGTGTGTCTGTGTGTGTGTATATATTGATACATGTTTCATTAAATAATATAGACAAGTGTTGTATATTTATTTTATGTAAATTCTTTTCATATCATTTGATAAGCTTAATAACATTATCATTAAACGAAGAAAGAAAATCACAATATTGATACATATTTTTTAATCCTATCTAACCTTTCGGCTTACATAAGCCATTATCAAAGATGACAATTACATTACAATATATTAACCAATACACAGACAAGACAGTGTTCTGTTTGCATGGAAGATTTTCAAGCAATGACAAACTTGTGCATATAAGATGCTGGAAGCGAAAATGGCACCGCAGTTCATGACATCACACATGACCATGCGAGAGTGAATTTGAGAAAAAGTTGGTATAAACCGATGGCTTCTGTTAACAATTATAGGCATTTAAGAATATTTGTGGAGATTTCATAGTTTATTTTGTTCAGGTTAGGTTTCAACAGTTTTATGTATATAGCTTCAAGAATTTTTACTTTTTGTTTATTGTTTTCATGTTTAAGTATAATTGTGTTTTCGACAAGGATTTACCGGAATTGTGTATGCGGCTAGGCATGTTGTTTTAAATACCAAAAAATCTTAGAATTATCATTCAAATATAGTGTCAAACATCGTGAAAGTGAGTTTGTGGTGTGACCAACATAAATATTATTTCATTCGTTGGAGATACAATCTCCTAATAGGCACTTGGATTTGTAAACTATGTTGTTTTTTTTTGCAAATCGCTAACCGGGGGAGAAGAATCATTGCGAATAACTGAACTCGATATACTAGATTTTTAGTGTAGTATATGATTAACTTAATTCTTTTGCTAGGATCTGTTGTTGATATATTAGTATTTATTAATTTTTTAGTATATTTTCATCTTGTTTATAATTAGTATGCATTTGATTACAATATAGGAGATTAATATGTTTGAGATTAGTAGAAGCAGTATTATGTACTATTTGCTTAGTATTGAGATTTCTAAGAAAGCATCTTATTTGTTCATCAACTATATAGTTTGCAAAGCTATTATTAATGTTTGTTTTATATTCTTTAGTTCACTGTAAAAACCAGTTTTGTGGACGAATTAGTTTCTGCACGATATATTAGATTTTTTATAATTGCTATTTTGTAGTAATATGGGCACTCGCTCTTGTAGTTAAGTGTACATGAATTTATGCTTGTAGGTTTTTTGTATGGCGAAATAGTAAATTTGTTATTATTTGTGTTTATCAATATGTCAAGGAAGGGGATTTTATTATTAGTATTGAGTTCATACATGAATTTAAGTACAGAATTATTTTGGAACCGTTTTTGAAGTTGAAGTATTTCATCTGTATTTTTAACTAACATAAGGATATCATCAACGTATCTTAGGTAGATGGATGGTTTTTTAAAATTTGTAAACATCGTATTTTCGAGGTTCGACATGTAGAAATTGCTAAATGTCGGACCCGGTACTGAATCCATGGAGACACCATCACGTTGTATATATATATATATATATATATATATATATATATATATAAACTTTCCTGACGATCCGTTTAGGTGAAACCTAGGTAGGTTTGTCTGGCTCACTAGGTGTATCTATCTATATATATATATATATATATATATATATATATATATTATTATTATTATTATTATGATCTAAGAAAGGGACTTAAGTAGTACAAGCTAATAGTAGTTTTCTTAATTTTTTAGGATTAATTTTAAGTGGGGGTAAAGATGAGTTACTGTATATATTTCTCATAATTATATTAATAGTTTCACTAACATCAAGTGCAGCTATGATTTCATTGTCGGGTTTTTCACTTTTTAGGATTTGGATTACTTCTAATGTTGACTTAACACTATATTTACTAGAAAGGTAGGGAGTAATGAGTTGGTTCATGTATTCCAACTCCTTTATATCAGCTAACAAAATACATTAACCAATATAACATAATAAATATTTACCAACTCATTTTTCTTTGAATATTAAGCAATAATTGTCATCATTACTTTCTGCTTCACAGGATCTTAGTAAAAACAAAAAAATCCTCTATTTAAATAGAGAGGCTAGTTTTCCCTTTTCTACAGGTTTACACAATGTTGCAGTTTTCACATTGGTATTCAAAAAGTCCTGTGTTATCAATATGTAAAGATAATGGTAGATGGCACCATTGTATATTACTATCATATGATGTGTTCTGACATTGGGAGTATCTATCTGAGCACTGATAGGCTTCTCGTGGCAAGGCAACATGAATTATCTGATTTTGAATGCTATATATTAGCGGATGCCAGTTTTTGACCTTGTGAGTATATCTGATTTCTCTTGATCTACAGTATACTGAGAATACAGACTGGAGGGCATTACCAATCACTGTGGACAGCGCAATGATCGACCATGGTTCATTAATGAATATGACTGCAGGCATTTGAGTGGAATTCTCTTTGGTAACAGACAAGTGCCTATTGTTTGAAATACTTTGGAATGTCAACAACTTGATTTTCTCTTTGAGTTGCATGTGCTATCCTTTTTACTTGTTACTGCTGTTGGAATTCCTGAAGTGATGAGGTTTCTGTTATTTGGTACAGTTCTTTGGGATTATGTAGTGGCAGTTCACAAAATTTTGTGAAAATGCAGTTTAACAGGTGCAGGTTCCCAGGCTCATCTTTTCTTTGGTGGTAGTGTTTGTTATTGACTATTGTATTTTAGATTTTTGGTGGGGATTTGTTTTGTGGACAGTATGTGATACTGGAAACCCTTGCACAGAATACATCTTTTTTTTTTTATTTTGGTCTTTACTTTTTTAGTAGCAGTTCACAAAATTTGGAAGATGGACGGTTCTTGTGAAGACCTTCTTTGAAAGTCATTTTCAATCATTGATCTAAGAAAAAGGTTGTATACAACTGACATCTTCGATATTTCTGAACAGGTTGGCTGCTATGCAGAAGATCCATATGAATGTCTCTATCTGTTATGGTAATTTACCCATGCACACATGGACACTCTCAGCTATAAATAGGAGCAGGTACTACCTTTTGGAGGGTGAAGTTTCCAGCAGTTAGCTCTGACAGTCGGACTGAACATTCTTGCTGTAACTCTCTCGTTTGTATATGTTTGTATTACTGTTTCTGTTAATATATTTGTTTAACTCAATTCCTCTCTTTGTGTCTTTATTTCTGGCCCTAACAAGGTCACAACACTATCTATCTATCTATCTATTATGGTAATTTGCCCATGCACACATGGAATCACCCAGCAATAAATAGGAGCAGGTACTGCCTTTTGAAGAGAAAAGTTTCCAGCAGTCAGCTCTGACAGTCGGACCGAACATTCTTGCTGTAACATTCTCGTTCGTATATGTTTGTATTACTGTTTCTGTTATCATATTTGTTTAACTCAAATTTTCTCTTTCTGTCTATTTCTGGCCCTAACAAGGTCACAACACTATCTATCTATCTATCTATCTATCTATCTATCTATCTATCTATCTATCTTGGTCCATTCATCTATCTATCTATCTATCTATCTTGGTCCATTCATCTATCTATCTATCTATCTATCTATCTATCTGCGCATATGTAGGATTTTTCCTTTTGGTCATTCATCTATCTATCTATCTATCTATCTATCTATCTATCTATCTGTTATGGTAATTTACCCACGCATGCATGGACTCTACCAGCAATAAATAGGAGCAGGTACTGCCTTTTGGAGAGAGAAGTTTCCAGCAGTCAGCTCTGACAGTCGGACCGAACATTCTTGCTGTAACACTCTCGTTCATATATGTTTGTATTACTGTTCCTGTTATCATATTTGTTTAACTCAAATCTTCTCTTGTGTCTTTATTTCTGGCCCTAACAAGGCCACAACACTATTTGACGAGGTTATTTATGAATATGGTTTGAGATTTAGGTTAAAGTTTTAATTTCATAGCAATTTTCATTGTGGGTGTTGGTTGTAGTAGAACCATCAGGTAATCATGAGCCCCATTTGTTAACAAGTAGGTTGAAGATTTTTCCATAATAGCATGAAGTGTGTTCACCTGGTATGATATGCCTAATTATTTTGCACTTCTTCCTGACCATCTCTACTAATTCATGGCTTCCATGTAATCCAACAACGATAGGTTATTCTAATAGTATAATGCACATGTCAACAGGCCCAACTTGCTCTGATTTGTTTTGTGGAGCCCAATCCAAAATTCATGTGATGTATTATTAAGAGGTTTCTTAAAAATAATTTTTAGGAGAGGAAATGAATGAACATCTTATTCTGAGTACTATGAAATGTGTAAATGATAAAACGCAAGACTCTTATTCAAATTGTAAAATCTGAAAGAAATTTACATTTATTAAATAACTTTAAAATTAATAAAAGCAAAGAATGCAAAATTTAAAAAACAAACTTACACAAAGTTTTCCTTTGTGTGCCAAGCAATTAAGCAACAAATTCTAATTGCAATTATTTTGGGCTCATAAAATATAATAATTGTTGTGGAGCTCTCCCCTTTTTACATAAGATGGACTTGTCCAAAGTATACGGATACTGACAGAGAGAATACCTGTTGCTGAGATACGTTGAGAGATACTGAGACAGACACAGGGTGTTCTCAGAGAGTTATACAAGAGTCCAGAGAGAGAGAGAGAGAGAGAGAGAGAGAGAGAGAGAGAGAGAGAGAGAGAAAGATGATTACGGCTTTACTTACAGAGACTTGTACATATACTTTCTACTAACCCGCATTCCTGGACTACTAATCTTCACTTCAAGTCTGTATTCTTACGTTTAATACACTTATTTTTCTATCTCAATCACTGGTGTTGTTTATTTATTTGTGCAGGATTCCATTCACGGAATCCACAACAATTATTATTATCAACAAAATATTCACTTTGATTCATTTGACTAACATTATTTAGATATGCAATCATAATTTAATTATATATATATAATTTATATATATATATATATATATATATATATATATATATAAAAACCCTCAAATTAACAGTCCAGGAACCAACGGACTCTGGATTTAACTTTAAAACTTAAAAATAAAATACAAATATATTCTGTATTTACATTTATTTACAATAATTTTACAGTAATGGGTGTTTTTAGGCCACAAAAAAGTGCTTGAAATTAACAGACAAATGGATTTAATGGGCGATCTCCCCTATTAGTCCATTAAATTGAGGAATCCACTGGTTTTCATTCTGGACTCATTAGAGGATCCCTATGTCAAATTGAAGATTTTATATGCTAGTTTAGTACTTCTAGTTTGAAAGGTAAGAAAGGGTGATTTGGGGGGGATGTTTGGAAGAAATATGTGAATTATATAGAAAGAAAGATGCTATAAAAATATACAAATCTATCTATCTATCTATCTATCTATCTATCTATCTATCTCAGTCTAATAATATCCATCTATATATCAAACTCTTCATGTCTATCTATCTATATATCTCTTTATGCCTATCTATGTCAGTCTATTCATATCTATCTATCTATCTATCTATCTATCTATCTATCTATCTATCTATCTATCTATCAATTCATGTCTGTCTATCTCAGTCTATTCATATATATATATCTGTTTCAGTCTATTCATGTCTATTTGGCTCAGTTTATTCATATTAATATATCTATCCATCAGTCTATTCATGTCTATCTCAGTCTATTCATATCTATCTATCTATTCATGTCTATCTATTTGAGCCTATTAATATCTATCTATTCATGTCTATCTATACTAGTCTACTCATATCTATGTATGCATGTATGTATGTATGTATGTATGTATCTATCTATCTATTTATCTGTCTTAGTCTATTCATATCTATCTATATATCTATCTATCAGTCTATTCATATCTTTATTTCTATCTTACTCCATTCATATCTATCTATCTATTTATGTCTATCTATCAATCTCAGTCTATTCATATCTATCTGTCTATCTATCTATTCATGTCTGTCAATCTTGGTTTATTCCTATCTATCTATCTATCTATCTATCTATCTATCTATCTATCTATCTATCTACAAATATTTCTGTGCTTACATGTTAACTACCAAAAATGAAAAAAAGATCTAAATAAAAAATTATAAAAATGAAGACTTTTCAAAAAAACTTTTCTTCTTTTCCAAATCTTTGCCAAGTTGTCTTCTTACTTAATGCCATATCAATGTAGTTACTGACAGAACTCAAGTTTCCTAGCACTGATTGCACTGGACATGCGGTGTCAAAAAGTTGCCCAAGGATAATATGGACACACCTTAGCTCAACCCTTAACCAGCTACTGCAAGCTTAAGAAGTAATACTTTTATAAAAGTAATTGAACCACCTACTGCTTAACGCCCAACAAGAAATCAACTTTGAATGAAATTATAAATTGTTTTAATCTTTGATCTTATATGCAGACTATGCTTGTTGCCTTGATACTTACTTCTGCATTGCCAACGTTTAGTCATTTTTTTTCTTAAAGGACAAGCCTGAATCCAATAAATAAAGAAAATTACTAGCATCTGGACTTGATATCACCTGCATCCCGTTGTTTAATGCTGTCGGACATACATGAAATTTAATTAAATGATTCTTTGTTAATTATGATTATTTTTCTAAAATTATTCTTACCTAAGGAATATTGGTTCCTGAAGAGAGTAATTGGGATGATTTGTATCAAATGGTTTTCTCTTTACACCTACTCATATGAAACAAGCATCAAGAAACACCACTAATTCATTAATGCTGTTTCTTGATATATATATATATATATATATATATATATATATATATATATATATATATATATATATATATAAAAATTATTCACAAAACCAACTTTTTCAGTTATTTGAGTACTTTGATGAAAGTGGTGGAAGAATATATAAAAAAAAACTTGATTTTGAAACCTTTCACTTAATGGTATTTTTTTAATCAAATTCACCCCAAGCAAGGCAGTAAAACCACTAAGACACAAGGGGTCACTGGGTGTAGTGGAAGAATTAGAAAACAGAAACATTACTAAGGAATGGGAACAAAAAGAGAGTAATCAAGGGGACATTAGTTAACAATTGACATTGCCTTTAAATTTCTGAAGATTAAAAAATCTATCTATCTATCTATCTATCTATCTATCTATCTATCTATCTATATATATATATATATATAGAGAGAGAGAGAGAGAGAGATGCACATAAATAATGGGTGTGTGACTGACTAGCAGAGTTGGATTAAGACCCATAGAGCCCCTAAGCACTTAAAAGATTTTGGGGCCCCCATACATCTGCGAGTTAATTATGCTAGCATTGAGTCTTGATAAGTAATGCAAATAAATAAAGGCTATCAACCGAGAATGTGCATTGTGGAAACACTAGCTGGAAATAAATATAGAAGGCACATATGACCATTTAGAGAGGCTGACCATCAGTTCCAACCCAGAACAACACCAACCAAGAAAGAAACAATCACAGCTGTGCATCCAATGTCAAATGAGCCATGACCAGATCTTCACAGAACTGTGGACAAAAGTGGCTGTATCATCAACAAGACAGCATGTTACAGAATCGCATAAAAATATACCTCTGTTCACAAAATTAAATCCCATGTAGTTAATTAGTAATACTAACTTATTCAAGAGAGGAGATGTGTTGTATTGGGTAAATACAATCCTCATTATCTCCCTTTGCTCATTCCCTTATTAACCAATCAGGATGTCAATAAAGATTCACTGCAGGTCAGTTGTCCCCACTTCATAATGGAACCCTGTTGATTCAAGTGTTAATTGTTTTAGACTTATTTCTTTAGATGTGTACAACAACATCATATCATTACAATTTATGTGGTGCCTCCTTCCCTTGACGCCCTAAGGATGTACTTATTTTGCTTAATGGTTAATCTAACCCTGCTGACTAGTTAAAACTTTCACTTTCTGATCATGACTTCCGTGTTGGAACCTAATCATGGCTGATTTGTAAGGGAGGTCACTTCTTGATGTTATCAACCTGAAGAAGTTGTCTCAGTAAGTGGCATGTTTGAAAAATGCATTAAAATCATATCATGAGTTGACCGAGACCTTTTGAGTGAAATTGGGTAGACAGAATTATTCAAAAGCCATTGATAGTTGTGATAGCACAAAACTAAGTAATGTCAGCTTAGTATAACTGCAATATAAACCATTAAACTTAAGATATGGCTCTAGATATCTCAAAAGTATTCAACAAGGTTTGGTATGCTGGCCTTCTATGGTGTTACAGGACAAATGTTTGGTTTAATCGAATCATTACTATGAAATTGTGAAATGAAGGTCGTTTTGAATAAGGTGTCCCTTAAGACTCTATCCTGGGCCCTATGCTGTTTCTGATCTTCATCAATGATCTCCCTGATGTCATCAGTTCCCAACTGGGTATTTATTCAAGCGACACTGCTATTTACTCCTGTCTCAAGATCTGACAAAGTAAACCTGTCAGCTGCTCTTGAAAAAGACCTCCAACCAGTGGAGGCAAGCAAAGACTTGTAAATTTTAACATCTCCAAAGCAAAACTGCTTTCATTTAGCCACCACAGAGAATCATTTCTGCCTACCATAAGCATGGCTTATGCTAAACTCTAGGAGACAAACACACTGCGCCTTCTCAGCCACATGTTTTCAGCTGACATGAAGTGGAGTGATTACATTGATTCAATAGTTGCATCTACTGCAAGGAAAGTTGGGTCATTGTGTTGTGCCAGTAAATTTTTCTTGTCTGATTCCTTCTTGCATATTTACAAATCTGCCATTCATCTGTTGAATACTGTTGCCAGATCTGGTCTGGGGCTCCAGCTGTAAATCTCAAGATTCTTGGCAAAATCCAAAATGGATCTGTAAAGTAATTGATCCTGACCAGTCATCTCAACTTCAGTCAGTTTCTTATTGACGATGATGTGGCTTCCCTCTGTCTTTTCTACAAACTTTTTCATGGCAACTGCTTTGACAAGCTTTTTTTACTGGTACCGCAACTACATAAATTTAAGTGTGCTACTAGATTAGCATCTAGGTTCCACCATTTTAGTGTTGAAATTGTTAAATGCAATTGCCACTTTAACTCCAACAGTTTCTTTTCTCGCACTTCCCTCCTGTGAAACTCCTTTCTATTTACTTGCTTCCCTGATAACTACAATCTTCAAAAATTTAAATGCAACAACAATCACCATCTTCTGTTTTCTTGAATCCTGTTTATCTTTCTGTCCAAGGATATCTGATTTGGTTTTTCCACCAAGTCTGATTCTGTACTATCCAGTCCAGGGATTGAACTCACAAATACTACACTATGAAATTCATGAAGCAACATTTTAATCATCTCAGCTATTGTCCTGTGTGATAATCCTGATGTTAGAACTTTGGTGCCTTAAATATTTTTACTTTTTGCCTGATTATATAAAGAATTCAGTTTGACATTCCCTGAAGGTTACACAAATTGAGGCACCTGAAGAAGGCTGGAAAACGCAATGGCTCCAGCTGTACATCTCAAGATTTTTGACACAATCCAAAAACGGATCTGTAATGTAATCAATCCTGACTGTGCATTTTAAGTTCAGTCTCTCTCTCACTGACATGGCATGGCTTCCCTCTGTCTTTTCTACAAACTTTTTCATGGCAACTGAATACATGAATTTAAACATGCTACTAGATTGGCATTGAGGTCCCACCTGTTTACTCTAGAAATAGCTAAATGCAATTGCCACTTCTACTCCAACAGTTTCTTTCTTGCACTTACAACCTGTGGAATTTTCTTCCATTTACTTGCTTCCCTGATAACTTCAAAAACTTAACTCAGCATCAATTGTCATCTTCTGTTCATCTTTTGTCCATTTCTCAATCCTCCCTATTCTCTTTCAATTTCATTCCCTGTAACCCCTGCATACTTGTGGCATTGCCACCTTGTTTGGGATGAAATGATTAATATATATATATATATATATATATATATATATATATAAATAGAAAGAACAGTAAGATTTATAATCCAGTGTTCTTATTAATTATTTTTATTTTTATTTTTAAAAAACAGTGCTCAGTACAATTCTGCAGAGCATAAACATTTAGCTATCAAAAAGAGAATAAGTGCAAATTCAGCAAATGAGAAAAATGCTATGGATTTTGCTACCCAATACTCGGACATAACAGATGAAGAGAAAAGCATTATTATAAATGTGAAAAAATTGGTACTCAATGGATTAAAGACTTTAATGACCACTTTGACATCACAATGGGATCATTGGACTCTGCAGAGTCTTCTGAACTCATAGGTCTTAGTTATATTATACAATCTTACAGTATATTGCAAAATTAATATAACTGACATTGGATCAATGGACTTATCATTATAAAGAATTCCACAAACTTTAAAATTGATAAAATTAGAAAACTATTATACAGGGAATTTAAATGCCTGAACTTCAAAATCACTGTACCAATGCAATATCTCATCTATTGAGGGTCCAGATAATATAAAAGTCTATATTGGATGCACAGGACATGGATTCAAAAGACATTGAAACCAACATCTAAGTTTTTTTAAAAATAAGTAAATACCGAAATTAGACGTCCCTATCAAAATATTTCTGGCACTTAAAGGAAACCAATAAAACACCTATTGTAAAATGGAAATTAGTAAGAAAAGCTAGAGTTTGTAGGTCATTAAATGATCCATGTCCTTTCTGCATACATGAGAAATTATACATTACTAAGTTTATGAAAATTAAAAAATTTACTTAATCAAAGAAAGGAAATAGCTATTTTTTGGAGACACTGTCAAAGATTTTCCTTAAATAATAATAAAAAAAAAGAAAAAAATGAAACATATATATTTATACTTGATTTATACCTGATCTTTGAATAATAATTTTTAAATAAGAAAGTAATTCTAATATATTTATTTGTTCTAAAAGAAGTATAGTCTATTACTAATTAGAATTAGGAATAATAATTTAAAATTGTATTTTAATATGACGTACTCATATTCAAACAACACTTTTGAAAAAAAATCTTTATGCATACAATTATGAATTTAGTTGCAAAATAA